CAAGAAACTCTAGGGGTTGCTCTTTGTAAATAACATTTACAATATTTATTTTTTTATTTGAAACATCAGAGATCGAGACTACCTCCATGAGCTAAACGGGTACTACCACGGATTTTTGTCATCCAAGTACGCAGAAGTTGTATAATTTAACCTTTAGTATAAAGTTTTTGTTTCACTATAGTTTTAAACCTCGTGAAAGGCAAATTTTGTATATCAACCGGAATCTTGTTATAGAAGCGTATATATTGCCCCTTAAATGATTTTTTGACTTTGTGAAGACGACTATCAAGAAAAGCTAGTTTATTTTTATTCCTCGTATAAATGTTATGTCTGTCACTATTTTTCATAAAGAAATTACTATTCCTTTTAACATAAATTACATTTTCATAAATGTACTGTGAGGCTAGTGTAGTTAATTTCCTTAAACTTATCTCTCAAAGATACTTTGGGGCTCAGATTGTAAATTGCCCTAACTGCACGTTTCTGCAGGACAAAGATTCTATTGATATCGGCGGCATTACCCCAAAGCAAAATTCCGTATGTCACATAACCTTTTATATATAGTGGCAGTAGAGTTCCTTGTGATAGAGTTCGTCCAGGGAAGCAACCACCTTGCCTATTTCTGCCGCCAAATTTTCCGGTTTTAAATGGTAACGGTGCTGGTGAAATTACAGGCACATGGGACTTGTCAACTTGTCAATGTCTCTGGGTGATGGGCGCAGTGGCAGTGCTACTCAGATCTTTGCGACTTAAAGCCCTGAGTGGCACTGAAACTTTCATGGACACGAGTGTTGCTTATCACTAATCCACGACTTGTTTGTCCCGTCAGATTGATACCATTAAAAACACTTTTATTAATTAAATTTTTATTGAATTGATATTCAATTATTTTTTGTGAAATTACTCCACTAATTTTGTTGTAATTATTAATACAAAGATTATATTCTATATAGAAAGAGTAATTTCACAAAAAATAATTGAATATCAATTTAATAAAAATTTAATTAATACAGTGAATAGCGACATCTCTCGCCAGGACTGGTAGCTGTAAAGGTACTAACTGGGTGATAAATCTGTCATATATTTCTCATAGATGGCGCTACGACTAAAAAGTCGTTGAAAGACCAAGTACAAAGACACGACGCAAGCACATAGAAAATTTCGTGAGGTCCGTTGGTTCGTTCCGTGGCTTAGTTGGTATAGCGTCTGCCACGGTATGCATGAAGACGTCGGTTCGAATCCGACCGGATCGAAGGAATTTTTTCTGAGTGTTCGACCTTTGTATTAATAATTATAACAAAACACTTTTATGTTAAATTAAGATTTATTTGGATGTAAAGAGGCATTAAAATATATATTTATGTTATTGATGTAAAGTAACATGCATTTAAACAGTAACAAATAAAGTGGAGGTTTAAAGATGTTAGAGTTAATAAATATAGACAGAGTTCTTGCTCCTTTGAGGTTACGCAAGGGACAAACCAGGCGTTCTCTTTATTTATCGATAAATAAATGTTTGGTGTTGTAGGAGGAAAACAACATCAAACACCAACAAATTGATCGAGAGGAAGCTACAGATAGAACAGAAATTTTACTTCAAAGGCTACTCAAAATTCTTCAGAAGCAGCAACATCCCAAGCCATCTCTCTATAGGTATTTACGTTGTAATACTTTCTATGTTGTGTGTTGATTAACTTGATATCAATTATCTAAATTTAATATTCAAATTAAAAATAGTTGTTAGTTGCAAGGTTCCATCATTTAGCATGTCAATAGCGGTCATTGACCCGACTGTCATCCCGAAGTCACAATTTTGATGTCCCTTAAGTAACTTAATAAAAACCAATGACGTAACAATAACAATGTGAAATTGAGGCATATCACATGTATTTACATGTGGTTAATGTCACATTTTTATTACTTATCATTTAAACGATACACGTGTTTAAAAAGAATAATAATACGAATTATGTTACAATAATGTAACACTTCACAACACCTGACATTTAAAACTCAGTGCATAATAGCTAAGTATAATTCAGTTTCTTTAATATCATAATTTTAAAAATACAAAACTGAATCAATTTTCACTTAATATACATAAAAAGCTACGGTCCTATAAATTAGGCAAATTTTAATTTATCGTCACTTGTTTTTTTTTGCCTAGAAATTTTTACGCCAGATATACGTCACTTAAACATACTATGTCGGGGTATGCTAGGGTTCGATCGAATTTCAAAAGTATCCACGCTTCAATTTTGGTGATGTTTTGTTAATTCGTTCTATTCATTTTGTAATTGTTTGTTTTATTAATTTGTTATGTCATATTTTGCTTCGAAAAAATTATCACTCTTAGATTTGGCAACTTGGATCGGATTTTAAAAGTGACGGTTTTGCTTAGTATTTATAATGTAACTTTTTTATTCAATGAGAAAATAAAAGCATAATATTTAATTAATAATGCTTCATCACAATCGAACTATTTAAAAGTTTACAACTCCCGAAGTTATCTATACATCAAAGTCATTGACGTTAACACTTTCGGACGTTACTGGAACATTGGAAAGTATTGTTTCCACAAATAACGTAAACAGTGGTAGGAAGGGTGAATGATCGCTATTAACATGCTTAGTGGCACTTAGTTGTAATAATGTTTAATATATTTCCAGACAGCAATTGTATTCCCTGGAGAAAATTCATGAAGATTCGAATTGGCCAGGCAACGACGTCGAGAAGCGAAACTCGCGGCCACCACGTCGTCCCGACTTGATGTTGAGACTACAAAGAGTTTACAATGTCAACAAGGAAAAACATTTGAGAAGAAGTAAGCCAAACTAGAATAGCAATTGAAGAATTTTAAATGAATTTTCAATAAATTGTGCGTGTCAAAAATAAGTCCTCAATGCCTTAAAAGTATGCGGACTTAGGTATCGAGCGGGGCCTAAGTTTACAAAATAAATTATCTCAGTTGTGTGTCGATAATGTCAATGGTAGGATTTTTTACATTATGCAACTGCCATTGCATTCTTTTGGTATTCGCTCGTCATTGCCAAGTCGAGGACTCGTCAATAACGTGGTCTACTAATAATATACATATATATATGTAATAATAATAAAAAATAAGCTCGCATTTGACCTCCATCTCACCTGATGGAAAGTGTAGATGACAGTCGACGATGTAGCTTGCACACCTAAGTAATGCCTATTCACTCTCGCCTTGAAAAGGTCCAAGTTATAGCGTTCGGGGAATAAGTCCGCAGGTAGGGAATTCCACTCTCTAGCCGCTCGCCATATAAATGTGGAAGCGAAACGCTTCGTGCGATCCCAGCCCACGTCTAGTCCCATAAGATGGAAGGGGGGAGGCGGTATCAAATTATGCAATTCCATCGCACACTCTCCGTGATATATCCTGTAGAATACCGATAAGCAGGCAACTTTACGGCGGTGTTCAAGGCTCTGGAGCTTCGCCTCTACTAATTTCGATCACCTATAAGCCTCTTAGCACGCTTGTCTATTGAATCCAAATTGGTTGGTATTTAGTGCCAGCAGCACTCCATACTCAACCCGACTTGTGCTTGATACAGCTGAAGCAACTGGCTCGGAGTGAAGTAACGCCTCACCTTGGAAGGTATACCAATCTTCCAGGCTGCATTTTTAGCCATGAATTCAATGTCTGTCGAAGTTCAGTTTGAACGACATGTCCATTCCAAGTAGCTGGAGACGGTCGGCTATCGGTATGGATATATCACGAAAAGTCGGAGTCAGGTGAAAGGGATTCCGTTTTGTGGAGCATAGACACGCCTGCATTTTGGTACCATCAATGTTAGTGCTATTCTATCATAGTAGAATCTCTGACACTATAGAGGCGCTACTGCCATTATAGCACAATAAATGTAATCTCAGTGGAGTCTCATTGGAATTACAATGACTACAGTCAAGTCTCTTTTTTGAAGACGATATAAAATAATGTTCCAGTTTTCACGTAATTTTAAATAGTTATGGTTGTTGTCGATAGTTTTACGATAGATTGTGAAAGGAGATACAATTTTGCCAAAAATGTCTGCATTGTGAATGTTACGAAGTTCTAATGGATATACATGAGACTTGTCAACTTATGGCTCAGGGTGCCGGGGTGTGACGGGCGCAGTGGTAGTTCCCCTCAGATCTTTGCGATTTAAAGCTCGTGTGTGGCACTGTTACTGATATGGACAGGCGTGTTGCTAACCATCAGGCGCACGACTTGTTCGTCCCGTCACTTGATAATATTTAAAAAAATGGATATTTCATTATTGCTTTTGACTTACTGTTTCTTTTAACATGATATGAATTGCATTGGCACAGAAGTTACAGTTGTAGGCGCTTCTTTCCTACTTCGCATTTGTTTTAGACATTTACGATTTTTTCTACAATAGATAAATGTTTATTGTAAGCTGTATAACAATAACATTATCATTTCTTTGTTTCAGATCCTCAGGTGTGTTTATTCAAGCTGTGTCCGTCAGGATATTCCAAGAGATATTTCCAAAAGTAATATGGTTGAAATAGGTTGATGATGCTCAGGACAAATTATATATATATATAATTAGATTACGAAATTTTAACTTTTGTGTTACCTGTACCGATGTTCGGTAAAATAAGATGAAAAAGATAGAAAAATTATTTTTGGTGACCTTGGTCTACCTACAGTTGACAAAAAAAAAATAGTATTATGTTCAAACACAAACTTAATAAGAAAAATGTATTAAATATGCTACCAAAATGGTAACCACTAAGTTTTTATAACGAAACTTTGGAAATTGTCTCGTTACTATATAATTAGATGATACTCAAATATAATACTTTATTTAATAGTTTAATTTTGTATTTATTTTCTAGTCATATACTATTTTTTGTATTCCAGGCTTATTATCATGTAGGTAACCTGAAACCTTAGAATAATAACGCATAGAATGATAGTTTCATATCAAACGAACTGTTACAAGTGAGGCAAAAATCAAATTCGTGTAGGCTAGTTTTAGTAGTAGGTTAATTTTCGATTTTAGTGAATATTTATGTAAAAATACAAGTTGAAACGCGTTACTTCCTTGTGGAACGTGATGTTAGTATCTATTTTATAATTGTCTGACGTATTTTTACCCTCATTTACCACACATTTCGTAATTTTTCGCCACTCGTGTAGGCCCATTGGGAGCGCTTCTATTTGCCTCACTTAGCGTGTGCGGACTAGGTTTCAATGCGTTATTATTCTAAGCCTGAAACCTCAAATGCGGCGCTTTTGTTTCACAATTTTTATTTTTTTTTCAAATTTTGAAATGTTTGTTTTCAAGATAGGAATGCGGTGTTTAAAGATTCAACAAACTATAGTTATGTTCCATTTTATTTGGTACAAAGCAGGTAGCAATCAACGCCTATTGGTTTGGTAACAATCAGGCAGTTTTCTAAGATAGCAGCCATCATTCTTATTAGTTACTGTCTAATTAAGTATAAAATATATTAATAATATGAGAGTACTGAAATACTTATATTTTAAAGTGTTTTCATATTTTGCTCAAGATGTTTCTTTTTGAGAGCTTTGATGATTTTGAAACGTTTTATTCGCATTTGATTTACACAAAATGCCGGAAATCGTTTACATGTTAAGTAGTTATTTTTACACGTGATATTTGTAAATTATCAAAAACGATAAAATGCATGCAGGTAGCTTGCCAGTGGCAGATGAGTGGATAGTATTACCTTACGTTTTGATGTTCATTTTTAAATCTTGATTAGTATTTTACATACCAAACATAATTAAGTATATAGATCATGTATTAAAAGTGTAAAGAACAATTATTTTTTTATTTTAAAAGTTTTTTTGTTTGAAGAAGAGATTTTAAAGTTACTGTTTGTATTATTAAGCAAATAAATAATTATGTAGCAATTCTTTTATTAGTTTTAAGAAATATTTTTCAAATTAAATAACAATTATTGGTGTTCGTGTTAGACTTTCTTTTATTTTTTCTGAAGGGACGATGCACTTTTTAAATTATTAAAAAATAATGCTTTATACAACTATACTATGCCGTTGCTTTTTATAATGTTAAATTTTAAACAAAAGTTTATTGGAAGTCTTTTTTAAAATTAAGTGACATGCTGTATTTATGAACGCAACCGTATGATGTAATTTCCGTCAATTTAACGTATGCTGCCTTTAGTGACGTTGACATCAGGAAAATATTATATCGATATGTTATGCATGTGGTTATGCAACCCCAACTTCGAGAGCATATGTGACCATCATAACACATTTTTATAGTCTTCACCAAATAAAAGGCGGTAGTATGTAACTTTGAATGCGATCAACGAAACAATAAACAAACAATTATTAGCGTAATTGAGTTTAAAAAAATACATAAATTTTATTGAAACATTATATACAACGTTTTCGCACTAATTCCAAAATAAAATGCAATTTTGAGTTACCCCGAAATGTCCTGAAAACAGTTACGTCCTCAAGCGTTTTTTTAAATAATAGTGTTGTAAGCAATTAATAGCCGAATTTCACCGAGTCACTTCGATTTCTCGGAAAAATATTTAAGAAATGTATTAGAAAATATTATGAACATTATTTGAGATTGTTTGTTGTTGACATTGGCAACTTATAACTTATTGGCAGCCGAATAATTGAAAATTTATGAAATCCTTGGTTTCTTGGTAATTAAATCTTGTTGTATAGTTGTTTTATCTATGAACATACTTATTTACACTAAATAGTCGTAATGAACCATTTATAAATATTATAAAATCAAAATTAAAAAGATAAGGTACAATTCATCTGAATGTGGGATAATTTTACGATAATAAGATCAATTGCTACAGAATTGCAAGGAATTCTGTAAATGAATTGCTTTTAACATAATTGCACGATTTGGCCTTTTAGGCCCCCTGAACAACAATGAACCGAAAAATAATCTAAACAATCACAAACTCTTAAAATTTTGAATCGATTTCTCGTGAAAATTTTTATAATGTGATTACCGATATGATTAGTCCACATCCTTATTGCGTCACGATGACAAGTGTCAAACATGGCCTTTTATTTGGTGACGACTATTATAGTATATATACTATTACTACTATAATAGTAACGGTTAAATGAATTTAAATTTCAGCAATATTTTAATCAATTGTTACTCTCAAAAGCGAAAACATAAACAAGCTAAGTGAAACCAATTACTGCACTGGGGTATTTGTATATTATTATTGTGTTTATGCTGTTAATAGCAAGTTCAAAACATAATCGATGTTTTTGCTTCATTCTGGTCGACACGACACTAGTTCGTTCACACATCTGTCAAAGTCACGAAATGGGCATGTGAAAAATGTGGTTTCGAATAATAGTTTTAAAACTTTTGACTTAAAATTATTTATTTCTTATAACTTTATGACTTATTAAACATTCTAATCAAGTAAAGTAATAGTAATCGTTACGTAATTCTTAAAAAATTATACGTATAATAGTAATAATAATAGGTTGAGTGCGCTTGGTGAGGATTTTGTAACTCGCCGAAAATGTCTTTTCCTGAGGAAAATGGCCAGGAGAATGGCATATTAGACCATCACAGCTTATATTCTGGCTACGGAGTGAAGAGAGCCTACGAACACGGTAAGATTTTTGCGTATTTATTTTATAAGTGATATTTTCCTTTACGTTGCTTAACCCGTCACGCGGCCTACGGGTGTACGTGTGTCCGTAACGATATTGGTATATTAAAAAAAATGGATGAAAACAGTGCTGCTCCTTAGACATCGGGCTCTAGGACGCTACGATATCAAAATATTTAGGGAAACGGCGTATCTCTAACGATTGTACGTTGAAGCGGGTTAATGAATGGAAACCGCCATGTCGACTGTATTTACTGAGCACGTGTTCGTAAAAAACATCTAATTGGAAGGTGCTACTTTTATCGAAGGCCAATTTGCTACAGTAACATGTATGGAAAATTACTTAAAACGTTTTTGTGAGATATAAACTATGATTTATAGACATACACACAATCATGATTGTCTCCCGCTGGGGTAATCTTGCCTGTTTTAAGAGTTGACACTATTCCAGTTCGAGTTAAAATTTTTCCTGTACTAAATCAGTTCTATTATGAGGGCCGAGCAGTAAGAACACTGGCTCTATTTCAGAATTTATTTTTTTGCAAACAAAATTTAATCAATTGAAAAATGTATGTTGTATTACTATACATGATCTATTTAGTTCAGTTGATATAAAACAAAATAATTGGTTTTATTTAAAGTAACGTATACATTCAACATTTCAAAAATTATAACGTATCAAGTTCTTAGGTTTTCACGATTGTTATACATAGCAAATGAAACTATTTTTCCAGATTTAATGGTCACATGTGACTTGTAAAGGGCCCGAAACGTTGGTTTGTTTGAAAAAATAAATATACACGATTTAAATCCAGAAAAATAGTTTAATTTCCTAATTATATTCAAATCATCAAAGTTGCCTAATATTTTCAAAAATGATTTAATTACATCAACGTCTACTATTTTCCCTTGTGTTTATTTTTCATGAGAAATTGTAATGATATTACATGGTAAATCACTTTGAATTTCTCATCAAATATAACACAACATTATCATAGAATAGTTTTTTTAATTTCAAGTAAAATCATTTGGTTGTTTCTGAATAATCATCATTTTTGTGAGTATCTGCAAATATACTCAAGAGCCGCCAATATGTTGAGCGAGTCTTCGGGTATAAAGAATGGCAGCTGTCAATAGAGTCTAAACCAACCAGAAAAAGCACTTATGTCCATGTATATATAAGAGTTAAACAGACATTGCGTGTTTCGCATTGACGGTTCTAGTGGAACCAAAACGCATAATGTCTTTCTTGCTCTTATTGAATTCACTTAAGCTTTTTCTGACTGACTCAAGTGCATAAACAGGGCTATAAAATATGTATTGTAAAAGAATTGATCTAGAGGTATGTCATGTTATCTGTCAACATTATTTTCCTATAACAATTTCGTTTAAAACTAATATATTTAAATAATTTTTTCCTTATGTTTTGAATAAGCAGTTTACAATATAACAAACAGGAATCTGTAATTTTATCACACTTAATGAAATCTGACAATAAAAAAATTTACGAAAATCCTTGACATAGCCAACCTGTACACCACACATATCCAGGGTCAAACCCACTGGATGGAGAGAGGAATCCCACTGATGTTATGCATAACAGGACCTCTATATAACTTCCGAGGTTAGTAAGGACATACATGTGACAAAAAAGTTTGACCTCTGCCTACATATCTCAACTAGATTATGTCAGGAGTGCGTGTGTGTAGCATAACTCAAATGTTGATTATTAGCGAAACAGAGTTTGATCAAACACAAAGAAAAGTTCCTTAGATACGACTGGATTCAAACCAATGTCTGTCACTTCACTGTGGCTATTGCTTTTACCAGCTGAGCTACAGTTTTAGACAGCAGATATTACGAATTTCTTTATATGCTTGTTGTGGGTTTAAACAGCTTCCACCAGTGAGAAACTTATGATAATTTTTCACTCAGCCAATCCGTAAATGGTGATTACTCCACTGATTAATTATCATTTGTGCTGGACGAAATGTATGTCTGTGGAATTTTTCTATTTTTAAGAAAAAAGTTTCTTTGCTACAACCTTAACACTTATTAATGTGCATGATGCAATTATGCATGTCATAGGATACAACTGCATTCCATTTACTATATACATTTGCACATTTTGTATTGTTGCTTAGTTGCATAATTGTGTCACATAACAGGTTTCGGATTAACAACTTAGAAAAGTTTTCTATTGTTCATCATGTAGTCATATGATCAGTCATGTGACTATGATTAAATGGGTAGTTACTTACAAAAGTAAAAGTACTGAAAAGTAGGTTACTCCATTTCTTTTAAGATACAAAGTGACAGGACTGCGGCTACGGCTACAGCTGGTGCTAAGCTATATTTGCCTGTCCATATGAGTTGTAATGTCAGAGCTTTAAATAGCTAAGATGTGAGGGACACTGCCTCTGCGACTGTCACCCTGAGACATAAATTGACAAGTTCCATGTGCCTGTAAATTCACCTTTACCCTTCTAAACTGGAACCAGAGAATAAAGAATAAGAGAACGGACACTCTCCGCCCCTCCCTAGTTTTAGATACCGCACCACGACATTGCCGGTCACATTGACTGAACGACAACAAGGCTGCCGGCGAGCCGTTTTCGCGCGAAGGCGGCTTTGATATTTGAATATAGTTTTCATTTATTCACTACGAAACTTGTACGTAAATATAAAACATAATTTTACGTTACTATTTATAATGGTCGTGAATTGTGCTATGTGTGGCTGTTTATCACCATTTCCCGAAAGATGAAAGGAAGTAAGTAAAAAAAAACTTATGTCTGAGACTCGTTCAGTTATTGTTTTCTTTATTTATTAACTGCAGAGTAATATATGTATGTATAAAAAAATACAGATTTATTATATCAATATAATAAGACGCCATGACTTCGCGAATTTTCTATTCGTATTGCCGAGAAATATTATACTACCTATATATTAATTATTAACTAAACTTGGACAAGCAATTTCAACTACCTTGGTTACCTTACTTAAAAGTACATGTCCGAAATATAACATTTTAAGTGCATTTAATATATTTTTAAAATAAATCTTCAATATTACTATAGTTAGTGAATTAATGAAAAATATAATAATATATCGATATAAATACCTAATAGACATGTAAAATTATTAGGATTCTATTAATAGAATCATAGATAACATATTCGCGTTAGAATTTTCGCTATGTTGCGACCTTGCCACTTCACGCACACATTTGCGCGTGTGCAGATAGCGTCTTGCTGTATGTAGTAGTAGTAGGTAAATACCTTTCGACCGTTGTATGGAGTGTCCGGGGTATGCTGGAACGCAATATTGCACACATGACGTTTGTGAATGAAAATTAAGCAAAGTTGTGAAGTAATTTCACAAAAAAAAACTATATGATAATCACAGTAGTAAAAAATCATGATATTTAATAAATAAATACTTATTTATTATATTCCAATACGGTATTTCCGTGCAATTAGAATTAATTACGTTGCTTTTTGTAGTATGAGTAGAATGTGCTTATTTTTATGTTTATTTCTCAAACATTCTTTAAGTGGATTGTGTGTGATGTAACAGTACCTACATACCTGTTGAAAATATTAATAATTACACGTTGAAAATTTTAATTTTCATCGGTGTGTTTTCACTCGGTGTATTTTGACGATCAATAATAGGGGCTTACAGATTTCCATGATTTTCAATGATGATTGATCTTGATGTTTGTCGTTTGATGTTTTGACGATCAGTAAGATCTGTAAGCTAACAGATTTGCTCAATTTTACGGATTGGTGCTGTTAGCGATCGATGAATACTAGGGTTAAAATTGAACAAATTTATAGACACATACGCTTAATTTAAAATCCAGTGTCAGTCGACAAAAAACGCGGTGACGATGGTCTGTTGCCTACACATTTATTTAATTTTATCTGGTCATATGTGTCGGTCGACTAAAAATACGACATACACTCGTGTCTTATACTTCACATGGCTACTTGTATTCGTTATTAGGTGTTTGATGTACTTGAAAAAATATTTGACGCACGGAAAAACAGGCAAACATTGACAAATATGGCCGTCTGCACAAATGGGGCCAAATAAGGAGTTAAAATAAATGAATATAACCGTAGCGTGGACGGATTGCTTGCGTATTTGCCTCATTGGCTCCTTTGATGTGCGTGGAGAAACCAACCAGCGCGCGGTAATGCGAATTTGGTGTTTGTTGTATTTGTTGAATAGACAAACATGGCAAATGTACTTTGTCACACATGCCATCTACACGTGGCAGTATTTGCCAAATATGTCAAATACGCAAATACAAATAGTCATCTGAAGTGCCACCATTACATAATTACTTCTTTTGTTATATTTATTAAAACAAAGATCCACACTCAGAAAAAATTCCATCGATCCGGCCGAACAGACTTCTAGCATACCGTGCCAGACGCTGTACCAACTAAGTCACGAAACGAAAATAACATAAAAGTAATTGAATATCAATTCAATAAAAATTTAAATACAATGAATAGCGACATCTTTAGCCGGGGCTGGTAGCTGTAAAGATATCTAACTGAGTGACGAAATATCATAGATTTCTCATAGATGGCGCTACGGCTAAAAATTCGTTGAAAAACAAAATACAAAGTTACGACGCAAGCACCTAGAAAAATTCGTGAGATCCGCTGGTTCGTTCCGTGGTTTAGTTGGTATGGCGTCTGCCACGGTATGCTAGAAGACATCGGTTCGAATCCGGCCGGATCGAAGGAATTTTTTCTGAGCGTTCGATCTTTGTATTAATAATTATAAAAAACTATAATTGAATGTCAATTCAATACAAATTTAATTATAATATTCGCGGTTTTGAGTTTTTGCTACAAGAGCCCTTTCAACTAACGGCGGCAGCATTCGTCTCCTACACCACATCTCAAAAGCCACAAAATAATGCAATAAAATAATGCTTGTCCCTTGTATTCAATAAAAAAAATTAAACGTGAGTACAGTCAAGAGAAAAAGAAGTTTTAAAATCAATTATTCATTCATAGAGCAAATTGTCATCAAATGTTATAATTAACACAGACAATTATTTTTTTTTGTGACAGGCCATTAATATTGACATTTGTATGTGTCCATGGCACTTAAAACTGTGTGAACAGGGAATGTCCTTATAATGAAGTAAATTCTTTTTATTCTTATTTAAGGGCCTTTGTTAATGGAGTAATCGCCAAGGATCACTTTTTTAGCGCCCAATGTATAAAATTATTTATTAATAATTCCAAAAAGCAGAGTACACTAAAGTAACTCCTTGATGTTCTGCGCTTTGGACGAGAATTGTCTCTACCTACCTTACCTTGAGTACTTTAAAACAACATTCATAGCATCTATAGTCTGCTTCGATGCTTGGTATAGTTTAGTAGAACCTTTTAAGTGGGTTTGCCAACCCTAAAATCAACTGGAGGAAAGTTGCTCATTGCCCTCATTTATTTTCAATCAATCATCACAAATAAGGATATCTATCTTTAAACATGCGATTCAACAATTTCAAATCAGTTAACCTCTTCTGTCAAGTATTTCTAACGGCGCTATTCAGGAATAGGGCTGTCACAAACGCTATTCACTAAAAAAAAATTATGAAGAAACGTGCTTATACGTTATTATGAACTCTATACAAAAAGAGCACATGAGGATAATGTGTTCTACTATAATAAGATTAATGAATTGGAGATGGATACAGTTTATATATTTAAATTTTGTCAGATTCTTTTCAGCGTGTTGCATCAGAAATTAGCATACAAATTTTAATAGCAAGTCATATTACATTATATAAATATTTATTTTTTTAAATTGAATGTTATAACTAAAAGAAACTAAAAAATATGATTTAAAAAAATACTTTTACATTCACATTAACATTCCATACTTATTAATAGAACAACTGGGACAAATAAGTCCCAGTAGTTCTATAATAGAACTACACAATAGAATTAGTGGGAACGAAGGTATATTATGTTAGGCACTTAGGCAGTCAAATGACATATTTAAATGTTCTTTATTAACACAAATTATAAATAAAAAAAATTATTTTTTATTGTGGGGACATAAGAAACAAAACGCTGTTTAATATATGTGACGTTATTACTATCGGTCTGCAATCTCCACAGATTATACTATTGTAACTTCACGCTACAGTGTTGCTATGTCCATTTAACCAGTTTCGGTTTGGAAGGGTAAGGGCACATGGGACTTGTCAACTTTTGTCTCAGAGTGATGGGCACAATGGTAGTGCACCTCAGATCTTTGCGATTTAAATATTAATTTGCTCAACAAATTCCAAGCAGTACATTAATATTACCACCACATCCATAACATGGTAACTGAATGGCAACGTATTAAGTGGTCTCAATAAAATCAGAGTTCAGTGCTTTTATGATATTGTAGGTCGTTTTGTTTCACAATGAATTCTTTAGTCGTCCACAGACGTGCGGTTGTGAACCTACAGTGATTACTGTTCGGTGGTACCAATCAGTGTAACGACGTTATGGTTTTAATATGTAAGTAATAAACATGTTGCTTGTTTTGTTATATGTATGTATGTATGTTTTTTTAATTATACATCGTCTGTAT